AATTTAATAACATTTACTCTGTTACAATAACAATTATCCAAAAAAACAGTTTTCATGCGTCGTCTAGGGATCTACAATTCAAAAGAAAGGGAAACTCGTCACCCAATTCTTGACAAAGACCTTATTACACATAACAATATCTTCTTTGTTTATCCAAACCTAGTTTCAATTGGTAATCTATGAAATATTAGACTATCTCTTTCTGGTAATATATCTAAACAAAATAGAGTTCAAATTTATCCTTTAATAACCTGTATGATAAGTCTTTTGACGAATTACAAACATCTAAACGCCAGTTTTGTTGAAATTGGCAAAATAACTTTAAAAAATTGTTCTTAACTATCTTGTCTTGTAATCCATATCTTCCTCCAATAAAGGAGCACCTCATTCAATGAGTAATCCACCACCAGATCAAAAGTACATGTATATCTTAATGTTTAAAATATAAAATTCACGTAGGTAGTCATCCATCATCTTTAAATGTTAATATATTTTAATATTAAAAGTGTTGTGTATATACATATATACCGGCGTAAAAATATGAACTAGTTCAATATCATGAAAGTTATTATTTTAAAACACCTCCACAATATTTACAGTTTATTTACATGTAAATATATGAACCACGGAAATCGTTATTCTGCAAGTTCACTGGTTTTACTAGCTTAGGTTGTTAACTTATATCTGCATTGCACAGTATAGTGTGGCAACATACCCACGCTTGCTGCTTCAAAGGACTTTATTGGATTGAGTAATAGTAAATTAGTATAGTGTGGCGTAATCCACGCTTACTCTCTAATAAATGATGATATGTATTTAGCCTTTTCAGTAAAGTGTGGCGAGATCCACGCTTTTGTTGTATTGACGTAAACTTGTAGAGGACGATATTGTTGACAGTCGTGGAAGTGTGGCGAGACCCACGCTTTAACATTGTTTTATTAATATAAGTTTGCAGTGGATGACGTTGTGGACTATGATTGAGCTGTCAAGTGTGGCGAAACCCACGCTCATTTTGCTTTAATATTGAAGTCACCTCCTAGTTGTGTCAGTAAATTGTGGCGTAACCCACGCTTAAAGTGTCTATTAAGCCGACTTCATTTTCGATCATTATCATTAAGAATTCTCGACCTGCTTTTGTGAAGTAGAAAGCATAGTCTCCTTGATTGAAATTCTATGTCCAATAGGATTGAGTTATCACAATTGGGTTCCAGTAATCTAATTGTGCTTGAATCAATTATCACTTGGAATATGTCTACTTCACTACCGTTGTGCTTAAAATGTTTACTGAGCTTTTCATGTAGCAGTCGGATATTATTTAAGATTGAATTTCTCTGGTCCGATAGTGCAGGACAAAGCAGTAAGAAATGTTCTAAGGTTTCATCTGATGTTTGGCACAAAGGACACGTTGCTAATAGTCCTTTGTTCTTCGAATGCCTTGTTCTGTCAGCCATGAGTATATAGCTTCCTGTTGCTATTCTCAGTTTCACAGGTATCCTCTGAGCTTCTTGCCTGGAATTACTAGCAGATAGGTTTACTAATACATGTGTCCTGGTATATATTGACGATTTAAATACTTTAGTGAGGGGTACAGCTTACAATGACCCTCGATTAAATGTTTCCAATACTTTGATACTTCTTTATTTACGATGGTCTCCCATTTTAATTTTTGGATTTGACTGTCTAATAAATATAATGCTGATGGTAAGTTGTATTTCGCTAGGATCGTTTTAACAATAATAAACCAACTGTGACTATTATCCGTTTTCAATTAAGTAGTTGTCTGTATGCAATGTTTTTTCTAGACTATCTTGTGGCTGTCTGCATATATTTCCAAATAATGACAGGATATTTTTATGTATTTGGCCTTCTATTGGCAGTTGTCCAGAGAGAATGTATATGGCGGGAGTAGCTGTACTTGTTGGTAAAGAAAGTAATTGCTTAATACATTTTTTGTGGAATATGTCAATAATATCCAAGTTTTTCCCCGAAGGAGTTACTAATTACAGGCCGTACAGAAGTACAGGAATGACATAGATATTAAATATATGTAGTAAAGTTTGCATGTCTAGTCCATTTTTCCCATGCAATCCAGCTGACATTAGACTGTACATGGCTCGTCTTGCTTTTTTCACGTTTTCATATAACGGATTAGGACCATCTGGTTTTGATGTGCGTAAGACCCCCCATATGGGTTGTTTGGTTAACTATTGGCATTATTGAGTTACCTATATGCCATGGAAAGGAAGGTTCTTGTTGTTTTCTACAATTTGGATACACTGGCAGAATAACACTCTTCACTGGTTGAAGCTTATATCTCTCCCTTCGACTGTAGTTGTATGCCATGTTGATAAGTATCTGCAGTTCCTCAGGGTTGTCGCTCATTATTGCCACATCGTCTGCACAAGTCGGAGCGGCGCAACGAATGGATCCTATTCTTGCTCCCAATCCTGAGTGCTCAATATCTTTTAGGAGATTATTGATGTACAGCTTGTACAGGTCGGCGCTCAGTATACCACCTTGTTTTACGCCTTGGCATATTGAAAATGGTTCGGATATTAGACCATTAAATTTAACTACACTGCTAGAGCCTATGTGGAGACTATGTATAAGTTTCCATAGTAGCCCATCTACGCCTGCTATGTATAGCTTTCTTAGGATACTCTTATGCGTTACCACATCAAATGCCGACTTAGCATCTAGAAGCGCTATATATATTACTTTACCAGCATCTCTGCATTCTCTAATAAATTCTTCTATACAGAAGGAGCAGTTCATGGGAGCCGAGTTCTCAGTAAATTCTCTTTGTAGCCTATTTTGTTCTTTTAATATTTTAGGTTGGACCTTAGCCTCTGCTACAGACTCAATAAGTTTCAGCAGTATTGGCATGATAGTGATCCCTCTATAGTTGGTGGCGTTCTTGTTATTTCCTTTATTCTTGAATACAGGAGTGAGGAGACCCATTTTAAGTATTTCAGGTATTAATCCTAATTTGAATGATGACACTATCATATTTATTATTACTGCTTGCAGCTTTTCCCCACCGTATTTGATATGTTCAGAGATATGCTATATAAATATCAGGAGATTTGTTTATTTTTAATCTATTGATGGCATCTTGAACGTCTTTTTCAGTTACAGAGATGGTATCAGTGTGATCGTTACAAATAACAATTATATTGTCTAGATCTAATGCTAGCTTTTTGTAATATTCGTCGTCGTAATCAGGATCATTTGTTGGTTCAGCTAATTTATTGAAATGATGTTTCCATCCCACTATAATTTCATTGTCGGATTTATATATATTATCTTGTACCTTCAGTTCGGATATACAATTCTTTAGCTTTCCTTTTTTTTTACCAAGTAACTTGTAGAATATTTGATCAAGTTTTGTTCTAGCATCTAAAATTTCTTGTCTATCATTTAGGACTTTCAACGCTATCTCTATTCTACATGTTTTCCTAAGTTCGTATTTAGCAAATTTTATATCACAGTATATTTTGTTTTCCTGTGATGTCGGTCTTTCAATTGCTTTCCATTGTACGAAATCTTCTTTGCATCTTTTACTCGCTTGATTTGTTTTAAAGGATCTTATCTTAGGTTTTTGTTTCTTTCTTCTGTATACCTTTGCTCTAGGCGCTGATTCTATTGCTGCATTTTTCATAATGGTATTAACTTGTGTCATGACTTTAGTTAGTTCATGACCTGATTGTATCTCACTTGAAATAGCTGGTAGTGACTTGTTAACAATTTTCTCGTATAGATTAACGTCAATAGTACTCCATTTAGCCATTTTGTGCTAAAGCCAGCTAGTACTACCAAATATTGCTATAACCATAAGTATCAATAATATTTTATATAAAATAACACATTCAGACGTACAATTATTCTGTGAATATTTTAAAAAATAAATAAAGTTATACAAAAGGTGTGACAACTTATTTTCTTTGTTTTGAACAATTCTAGATTAATAATTTACCAGTCAAGTTAGGGTAGACTGCAATGGGATACACACCAAGTTCGTCGTTTACCATAAAGTTTAAAGTCGACTTCTTAAAGTTCAGTAGTAGCTTGCTCAATTTCAAGTTACTCTCTCTATAATATCTGTATTACTGAACCCCAAAATTTCACACCCATGAAGTAAAATAGGCTTCACTATCTTATCGAACAAATCATGCTGACATCACACAGAAAGGTATGAACTCTTTCCTTTTTAAGTACAATGTACATCATACATAGCACAATATGCCTTATTAACTAATATCTTTTTCGGGTACTTGCAAATCTACCTGTCATTGAAAAGTCAACCCCAAATATGGAATTATTTTGACAACTTCTAATTCAACATTATCACAATGAAAATGAAAATTTTGCGATAAACGTCCGCTAGAAAAAAAAATCATATTTCATTATAACAGAATTTACACTAAGTTTCCAAAGTTTACAATATTCACTAAATGTATAAAGTTGGGACTTAAAAAGCTTCAACTTATTCAGCAAACAGGCCCTGTATCATCTGTATATAATAAAAAAAAGCAAAATGTTTATTATGCATATTCATCTCATGAGTATATAGCTTCATGTTGCTATTCTCTGTTTCACCAGGTATCCTCTGAGCTTCTTGCATGGAATTACTAGCAGATAGGTTTACTAATACATGTATCTTTCCTGGTATATATTGACGATTTGAATACTTTAGTGAGGGGTACAGTTTACAATGACCCTCGATAAAATGTGTATTTACAAAATATGGTTCAGGTACGGATACACAATACAGGTTTTTACCCAATTATTCTACCCTTTTTCCCGCTATTTTTTCTTACTATTTAGGGAACCGTTAGAATCAAATATTTTGTCCGTTTCCCTGTATAAAATTTGCCAAACTCTTTTTTATTGAAATATTTTTGACATTTGTCTTTTATCTTTGTAATTTTTCATAAGAAAATGTAAGAACTAATGATTCATAATCAAATGTTAGCAGAAACAAATATAAATCTCAAACCGGAAATTATCCCTCTCGGTGCACTTTATTATTTTGAGGGAAAAACGCACATGAATAGATCAGCAATTTCTTAATTTCTTCAACAATGAGCGACTTTCAGGAATATGGTGACGTCGTTCAAGAAATTAGAGGCGCAGTAGTTAGTATTTCCCCCTTAAATATCAGTCGAATGAGAAGACATCTGTTTTGTGTAACAAAAGAAAGCTAGACAACTGGCCAAATTGTCAAATACTGAAATAGACCCCAACCAACACGACCCTTTCCACTAACTCTGCCAACTTTATATCAAATCGCCCAACTAATAGTAAACAACTCGCACCTCTCTATTTGACTAACTTGTTCACATATGTAAATGGAATTTAATAAATTATAGGCTATTGCTGACATTTTCTAAGCCTGTCAACTCGCCCCACTTTTGTTGATTTGAAAGGCTCTAAAGAGCTTTTGTCAACTCGTGACAACTCACTCAAAAGGCTAAATCTCCCCACTCTACCACTTACTCATCCCATGATAATTCTTGATGAGTAAGATTTGATTTGTATTTTCATACATGTCATAAGACTTGGAAAATATCAATGCAGATCCAGTTGTAGTTGGTGATGTTTCATTAAATGCTCTGTTGTATGCCGATGATATTGTATTATTATCAGATAGCAAAGAGGGTTTGCAAAATTGTCTCAATACATCAAGTAATTATTGTTCTTCTTGGAAATTACAAGTCAAAACAGAGAAATCAAAAGTAATGGTTTTCAATTCAAATGGAAAGTCTTTTTTAAACGAATTTTATTATAATGACAAAACCTTAGAGACAGTTGGTACTTATTGTTACTTGGGTATTAATATTAGATATAATGGCAGTTTTAATGTCGCCATGACTTCGCTTTTGGAAAAAGCTAGGAAAGCATATTTTAAAATAAAGAAAACAATAGGATTAGAACACCCTTATAAACTTCTGGAAAAACTTTTTGATTCCTTAGTAGCCCCTATTCTCCTTTATTGTAGCGAAATCTGGGGAATTATTTCAACGTATAAAGACAGTGATGCCTATGAAAAGTTGCATATAAAATTTATTAAAGAAATCTTGGGAGTACACTGTAAGGCCTCGAATGATGCATGTCTTTCCGAACTTGCAAGACTGCCATTGAAAAATAGGATAATGTTATCTAGTATTAAATTCTGGGATCATTTAATCACTTCAGAAGGAAGTTTAGTTCACCAAATATATAATGCTACAAAAAAAAGCAACCCATGGGTTAAAAGGTTAAATATTATTATTCAAAATTTAGGTTTATCATATTTGTCAAACTTTAACCTTACTATTAAACCCCTTTTTGGTTTTATAAAACAAAGACTAATTGATCAGGGTTTTCAGGAACAACATGCAAATATTTCAGCATCCCCAAAATTAACAGTTTTCCAGAGTGTTTACAAAATGAGTGAACGGGCAGGTTATGTTGATGCTTTAAGAAATAGATCAGATCGATCATCATTGTGTAAATTAAGAGTTAGTGCTCATAACCTTGCCATTGAAAGAGGAAGATATTTAAAAGTGCCCAGAGATCAAAGAATTTGTGAAATCTGTAAAAGTGGCAAAATTGAAAATGAACAGCACATGCTGCTACACTGCAGAGGTTACTCCAGTATTAGAGAGACTTTTGTATTAAAAATGTTCAAAATTACAGGAAAAAATATAACCACATTGTGCGATAAAAATAAAATAAATCTTATACTTAATAATAAATCTTATATGGCACTAAAACTATCTTCCTCTTTCGTAACAAATTGTTTAAATGCAAGAAGTAATCTATTGCAATAGATTTTCATTATACCTTTAATTTTTTATTCACAAATATATAATTGTTTGTACAAATGTATTTTACTACCATGTAAATTGTTTATCCATTCGGTCATTACCATTTATTGTAAATGCGTTTGTGCCAATAAAATATTGTCTATTGTCTGTAAAAATGGGGGGGGGGGGGGGGGGGGGGTCGAGTTGGCAGGACTAAAACTAATAGGATTTTATACTTTCTTAGGTGGGGCAAGTTGTCAGACCTTTTTGCATTTGAAGTTTATTCTTATATACATAAGTGGGGAGATGGCAGGACTAAATTCAAGGGGATTTTACGCTTTTTGATGAGAGGGGTGAGTTGTTATTGTCTGATTTGGCAATGCTTTCAGTGGTTCAAATAAGCGGTGGTCCAAGGTCTGCGACCTTCCACTATTGTTATCAGACTCTCGTTTTGGTTACTAGCTATGCCCGACCGACCTTCGATTTGAAAAAAAATTAAAATTCACTTCAAAATTTATTTTCATCTTTATTATTCATGACAGCGATGTTCATTTTTGTTGAGCCTTCGACTTAAGTCGAAAAAAGCGAGACATTGTGATCCTACATTCCGTCGGCTTCGTCGACCACAAATATTCACTCTGTGGTTAAAGTTTTTGAAATTTTAATAACTTTCTTAAACTAACCTGGATTTCTACCAAACTTGGACAGAAGCTTGTTTATGATCATAAGATAGTATCCAGTAGTAAATTTAAAAAAAAAAATTCTGGTTTTTATACGACAGCAAAAAAAATTTGCGATCGTATATTGGTATGACGTTGGCATCGTCGTTGTCGTCGTCGTCCGAAGACACATTGGTTTTCACACTCTAACTTTAGTTTAAGTGAATGGATCTCTATGTATGAAATTTTACCATATGGTTCAATACCACAAAAGGAAGGTTGGGATTGTTTTTGGGGGTTATGGTCCCAACAGTTAAGGAATTAGGGGCCAAAAAGGGGCCAAAAATAAGCATTTTTGTAACTTCCAGACATAACTTGTGTGTTAGTGTATGGATCTCTCTGACATTGTACCACAAGGTTCCATATCACAAAGGGAATGCTGGGATTGATTTTGGGGGTAATTGCCTCAAAATTTTAGGAATTAGGGGCAAAAAACAAGCATTTTTATATGGACAAATACTTTAGTACAAAACATAATTTAAAGCAGTGTAAGGGAGATAAATCAAATACATCATTTGTATTACCTCCCTTACTGGCTTTTAAATTATGTATAAAGTAATGGTTAATGAACAATTAAGACAATTTAAAACAGTGTAAGGGAGGTAATCCACATACAACATTTTGATTACTTCCCTTACACTGCTTTTAAATTATGTTTAAAGAAATGCATATTTATAAAGGAAGAACAGTAAAAATATCTGCAAATGTTGCATCTTTACAAAAAAATCAATATGAAAGATTTGACACCATACTGCCATATTTTAAATTCTATTATAAAATAGATTATGTTAGCACTATGGTAAATTTAAATGGGTAATTATGGTTGCAAATTCCATTGGAAATTTGAATTGAGATTATGACCATATCTTGAGGGAAAGAACTTTTTTGGGGGAAGAGGTGGGTGGGGGGGGGTCAACTTTTTCTCATTTCAGATTTCAGAAATTAAAAAGAATTATTCTTCAAATATTGAAAAATTTCAAGAAGTAATCTTTAATTGCACAGTATGGCGCATTAGATTTGTAAAATCTTTGACCACATTTATTTATTTGTTATGCCAAATCTAACCGTGTATTTAGATTTTTAAATTTTGGGTCCAGTTTTCAAATTGGTCTACATTAAGGTCCAAAGGGTCCAAAATTAAACTTAGTTTGATTTTAACAAAAATTGAATATATTGGGTTCTTTGATATGCTGAATAGAACATGTACGTGTATTTAGAATTTTGATTTAGGGCCCAGTTTTCAAGTTGGTCCAAATTGGGGTCCAAAATTAAACTTTGTTTGATTTCAACAAAAATTGAATATATGGGGTTCTTTGATATGCTGAATCTAACCATGTATTTAGATTTTTTATTTGTGGGCCCCGCTATCAAATTGGTTCATATTGAGGTCAAAAGAGAATTAAACTTTGTTTTATTTCATCAAAAATTGAATTATTGGGGTTCTTTGATATGCCAAATCTAACCGTGTATTTAGATTTTTAATTTTGGGTCCAGTTTTCAAATTGGTCTACATTAATGTCCAAAGAGTCCAAATTTAAACTTAGTTTGATTTTAACAAAAATTGAATATATGGGGTTCTTTGATATGCTGAATCTAAACATGTATTTAGATTTTTGATTTCGGTCCCAGTTTTCAAGTTGGTCCAAATTGGGGTCCAAAATTAAACTTTGGTCGATTTAAACAAAAATTGAATATATGGGGTTCTTTGATATGCTGAATCTAACCATGTATTTAGATTTTTAGGCAGTTAAGCTGTCTTATGGTAGACTTTGTGTTCTAACCAATAAATGCTGATATATGGGCCATTGTTATTATCTAGCTGGCTATTATGTTATTTATAACTAATTGGACATTTTTTTAATACTTTTATTTCTGGAATACAAAAAATATGACCAGAAAAACCTTTAATGATCGTCGAACTACCCAAAACATTTGAAGTTGCACATAGGAAGTAGTGCTCAATAGAAATCCGTACGTAGTTTATTATCCCCTGTGCTTTTGACTACGATGTCAAAGAACAATTGAATGAAATATTTCATCGCCGAAAATCGGTAATTACAACAGTCAAGGATATAACTCTATAGGGTTATTACAGAAAAATAACATACATTTGTTATTGTGGACTAAAAAATCAAAGAACTGTGATAACATATGTATGTTACATGTTTCAAAGGGGTAATATACATCATTAGTTTTGTTAAAATGTATACAGGTTCTATTGATATTACTATTGTATTTATGTATACTTAACTATAGAAGGATATAACAGTTCATAGCTTGCCAATCATGCATAGTACACCTATGTTATTACAGAAAAAATATGCCTATAATAACTAACGGGTGTTATTACAGCTCCTCTACATCACTCCTAAGCATTTGCTCAGACATTCATCATGCTTAATTACAATGTATTTTAATTTATTGTAAGAAATAATGATCAGAGCATGTAATGAGGTTCTGCGCAAGCTTCCCAGTAATTCCCAAGTGTTTTATATAATAAGTTAAATGCCTTTAATAACTAAGCCTTGTTATTACAGCTAAGTTTATCCCTTAAAAGCCTCGTCTCATTGATTTACCATGGTTAATGAAAAATGTATTAATTTAATTCAAAAATTAGTTATCAAGGCT